AATGTTCGCTTGCATATCATACAGTGAGCATCATAAGCTTACCACCCCCCCCCCCCCCCCCCCAATCTAACTCGTTACTGGAGTCTTGTCGTCGATTTTTGATTTCTACAATGTACATTTATGTATGAATATTTTATCCTTAGTTTCATCCCTTACTCTTGTAGACATTAGACCACACTATTTAAGTCTTCCATTTTTAAAAGAAATCTAGAAAATCTATTATACTATCCAAATCCTGAAACAAATGATTCTTGCTTGCAAAGTAAACATTTCTTTAGCGTTAATTTTCACTGCTTTGTGAAAATAGTGAAATATACGGTTGAGAAACCTTTAATGTAGTTATTATAATCATTAGTTTTCAAAGCAATAAATTAAACAGCCCACACCCATTATTTCATGTTTATGCTTAAACGACAGTAAAAGTGTTCTAAACTACGCTATCAACTGTATTCATCTAGTTAATCATGATTACCTAGGACTGAAAGTACCGGCGCTTAATTTGGTAATTTAAAAAGAAAATAAAGTTTACTCCTTTTTCTTTAAATATTTGAATTAATAAAATGTTTTTGCACACATAAAATAAGACAAATATTATACATATGGGTTTCAACATGTAAGGGCAAATTACAGAACCATCTATTATTAATATAGATATAGAACCGTCAGATAGTGACGCATACAAGCCTCGAAGAGAGTTGAAAAGTACATCGATGTTGAGTAGAATGAAAATAAATTTTCGAGTGGATCTTGGGGATAACACATGGAAAATTAAATTTTTCTTAACAGAAATATTTTTCGACGCCAAAATGTATTTATCCATTCGGTTCATTCAAGCCAATATACTTTTCGGACTAGTGATGATGTACGTTTTCATACATTCGATGGGCTTATGTGGAAAATCATAAAAAAATCGCTATTTTTTCGTACTAGATTGCGCCCTTATTACAAAATTAAAGTCTTTGGTTTTCCGAAGCCTAGTTCTATTAGTTAATCATTTAGTGAACACGGCTTGCGTAAAAAAATGGACAACAAATACCCTTTTCTAAGATCACTATCCAAAATTGATGTTTCCCGCGAACTGACAGCAAGTTATTTGTACGTAGTTACATGTTTTTCATGATTAACGTAGTTATAGGCAACACAGTATTACATTATTTACGACAAATGTTCAGTTTTTATATCTATTTCTTAAAAACTCTGATCGTTGAAAACATTTTGTGTACATTTGAGCGAAAACTTTGTAGCCACTTTCAACACATTGTCTCACTTTCTGACTCAAGCGGCAAAGTATCACTTTACGCTCCTAATACACAAATAGCTATTAATTTCTGTTATAGATATGGAAAATCGAATTTTCCATATGTTATCCCCAGGCAGGAGCCACTCGTAAATTTTCTTTCATTCTACTCAAAATCGATGTACCTTCTTCGTGGCTTGTATGCGAAAAAGGGCATATAAACCTGTCACTATCTGACGGTCTTTCTAATGACAGCAGATTTTATTTGGGTAATATTTAGATGCAAACAGTTTAATCAGCATTATTTATTATATTCACTTCGCAATAACATTATTAAAGAAAAACAGCGCATGTTTTGCAGATTGAATTTTTGAAAGGCAGTGCATGATTATTCTCAAAATAAAGCACGATTTTAAAAATATTTTCTCAGGTCAAAGAAAAAAAATTGCATGTTTTGTAATATACTTTTAATACAAAATTAAAAATAGCTGAACACAATAATTGAACACGTTTTAAATTTATAAAATTATTTTGGTAGTCATAAAAAGTACAGATTTTCTTTAAATATTAGTGTAATTACAAGTTTTCAAAGGGTGGACCACACTTTATCTTTATCGGTTAAAGCAGGTAGGTTTAAATATGAACCAGAACTGCCTCTTGAGTCTATTGTATTTCCCTGCTTTCCTCGTATTCAGATCAGGTACTATGGTTGAATAGTCCTGAGTCTTTGGTTATTTATACTAGATTCCCTACCAAGTATTACTGGGGCGATCTTTTCAGTTCTAGACCGAAAAGGGCGCATGCTGTCGCCTTGCTAGAACTTGCATTCGAAGATAACGTGGTATGATGTATCTTCTACAGTCTACACGTGGTGTTTCTGCATTTCAACATAAAGGTGTTTCAGCAAGCAGTGTCCCGATAGTAATCCCACAATGGTGGATATCTGGAGCATTGTGAACTTTTAGTATCTCAGCAATTATGCGTGGGTTTGGTCTCCTTAACATGAGCTTTCTGATTCCTCTTAGCTATTGCCAAAGAGTTTGGCGTTCAATGTTTATTCACCTGTTCACTACCTGTCAATCAGAGGTTTTGCTTACCCTAAACATAGATTTGGATCCTGTGAATGGTAGTTCTGATCCATATTTGGCAGTTCCTCAACATTTTCATTTCCTTGTCCCGGTACACACGCTAGTTTTACCTTATTGATGATTGTGGGTTGCCAGATCATTAAGTATTCCAAGGTAGTTCCTTGGTTCTTTTGACTTAAATCTGTTTGAACCAAGAAAGTTCTCTCTTATACACAATTAAATTGAATGTATTTTCAGCCTGAAATGCAGTTGTATTTTTTCCCAGTGAACAGAGGTGTCATTTGGATTTAACTCCATATACGTCAGAGTCTTTTTCCTTGCTTCCTTTAGACTCATTTGTATCATACGGGATCTCTAAGCAAAAGATGGACCACAAAATCTAACCAATTTATACATTTGTCAGAACCAGATATTGCACCATGAAAACCGGATAAGTTTAGTTGTTTTTGGTACTATTTTGTATCATCATGCTGTGATTATGTCATTCATTTTCCGTTTGTTTATGCTTTGTTTTTTTGTTTCAGTTAGGTTCATGTTAATAATCAACCTACAATATTTATTAGTTAAATTGTTTTTACATATAAAATTTTTCTGTGTATTTCCAGCGTTTTGCAATTGTTATATTCGTGTAGTTTGACGTTTTTAACCTATAACTCAGTTGACAGCTGATTTTAAACCAAGCAGTTTCGTTTCAACAAAAGTTAATTCATTCATACATTCATTGTGTGTAAAAAGGATATTTCAAATCGTGATAGTGATGATTTTTATGATTTTTGATATAGTTTAACACACTGGAAAAACTTCAAGCGTGGAAAACCGACGTTTGAAGACAATCTTCGCGAAGGCTGTCCATGCACCTTCGTTGTCATGAAAAATATTGATAATGTACTTGAAATTATTTTATCAGATCGGCATGTGTCATATAGTGAAATAGAGGCATCCTTAGGCCCTTCGCCTAAACAAATACATTCGATTTTGCATGATCACACATCTCTGTATCTGTAAGATGGGGGAGAGTGGTTTGATCTACAGCACTGATGCCTTAATGACCATTGTGTATCTATGGGTATATAGGACATGCCTCTCAACTTTTCAAAAACCGGCTGGTTGGCGCTAAGGCCTGTCTAGAGATAGACATCTTCTCAGCTCGTCATAGTCCTGCAGGTTATGAATTCGTCAAAAACCTGGTGGTTGACGCTGAGGAGTTACTAGAGACAGCCATCTTCTCAGTTCGTCAAAGTCCTGCAGGTTATCAATTCGTCAAAAATCTGTTGGTTGACACTGAGAAGTATCTACAGACAGCCATGTTCTCAACTCATCAAAGCCCTGCAGGTTATCGACTCATCAAAAACTGCTGATTGTAAGTAGGGATTGCCAGCCTTTCAGTTCAAAGTCTCACAGGTTAATATCATCATGAAGAGGTAGGTGTCCCATTTTTGAGAACTAGTCATTTGGTGAACTTCTACCACTCCGATGGTAAATGTCCGGGTGAAGCCATTCTGTTCACCCCCTCCACAGCACATACGATCACTTATATGTTAGGGAGTTTTGTAGTCGTTACAATTTAAGAGAGGAACAAAAACAGACAAGTAGTGCATGTAATAGCTCAAACAATATGCCAGTTTAGTGTGATGTCATTTTGGTTCCACTGACATTTAATTATAATTAGACTTTTAATAAAAACATCAATTAATTTGACATATACATTTTTACTGTTTTAAGTTTTTTCTATGTATTGTTTGCAGGTCATAAAAAATAGTTTAAAGATATGTAATTGGTAAACAAACGATTTTATAGTTTATGCATGTTATCTCCTTACTTTAGGAATATATTTATAAAACGCACTCAAAAAATCTACTGTCACTTTAATTGTCAGTGAAACCATAATTACATCATCACTAAAATGGCGTATTTGAAGCATGTCATTTAAATTCTGTATATATATAACATCTTAACAGGTGACGAATCTTGGATATAGTCTGAAACTAAACAAGAATCGACGGTATGGGTATAGGGACATGTTGCAATTGTTGCATTAAAGTGTAAGGGGACAGTTAATGCTGACTACTTTAACTTATTTGCTGCAAGTTCTCCATAATGACAAGCGCTCATAATGACACCGAACTGTCAAGTTTATGACCAGCAGCAACATCCAATTAATGACTAATTGCCCATATTCGCCTGATTTATTTTACATTTTCTGCAAACTTTAGCAGTGTTTCTCATAGATCCCTATCTTTTACTTAAAATAATTAGAATGAATAGAAGTAATTAGGCAACTAGATAACAGTTCAAAAACGTATATTAGTAGCATATCACAGTTTTCAGGAACTATATAAATGAGATATATATTTTAAAGTACCATCTTTAATACATATATTTGTTAAATATTAGATTAATCTCAAAGTCACACTTCCATTTTATTACCCAAAAAGAATCCAACTAAAAATTTAAAAGTTTCCCTTTAATTGATTCTATAAATATTACAAGATTGTTATTGGTATTGGGTGGTCTACCTTGTGAAATGCAAATAATATAGTACCTACTTGTAACCTGATCTAACTGTCAAAGTAATCATATTTTGAGAATGCGAATGCTTTACCTTCTATTACAAACCACTTAAGCTTTGATTAAAAATTGATTGTTTTTTTAACATTAATTTTCGAAATTTTCAGACTGATAATTTTATAATGCCTCCCGGCACCCAAGCACGCTTAGTGTGCGAATGGCCGTGTTTAAACTTAGGAGATTTAGTAACAATAATTGGTTACGAACCCACCCAAGGATATCAAGTCAGATCCACCACGAACCTTGACGAATTATGGATTCCGGCCCACGTTTTGGCCAACCACAATCGCAAACCATGGTCGTTTCGATTTAAAAAACCACGAAAATCACTGGAGGGCGTTATTTCCGAAAATCCTGTTCCCGAATTCCGCGACAAAATGAAAGATATTACCGTTCAAACTGGATCGAAAGTAGTGCTTAAATGTAGAGTCAGGAATTGTAATCGGAATACCAAGTTGACTTGGAAAAAGGTGGAACCCAATTTGGGTGTACTGCAGAATGGAAAATTTTTACAAGGTAATGTATGAACATTAATTTAAATACAACTGTTAAATGACCATCACGCTTGGGACCCAGAGTGGTCCTGGAGACGGACTAGGTGATATAAGGGGTCCTATGGTTAAAAAGCACAAATTTCCATAAATTCCGCAAATTTTGACTTAAAGATCTCTTGTTTATTTCAGCGTTTTCTGGGAGCTCCTCTCTTTCATCTTTCTAGCGGTACTCATATTAGTATTTTTTAAATAATTCCATTTTTTTATCGACAATATTTTTTCGGGATTCATTTCTTATAATTGTTAACCAATCATTTTGTTGAAAGTAATTTATCCACTTATTTCTATTTTTTTTCCTGTGTTAATTTGTCTGTTGCCTCCAATAATACTGTAGCATTTTATAACTTATTGTGTTTTACTCATTTTTGGTTTATTTTATCATATTTGTAAAGGTCTTTGACAAAGTCTGCGATATATTTTTGGACCGCCTTGTGGGTGTCCAAACAATGATTGTGATTCGGAACTAGCTTCTGAAAAGGTTATACTAAAATTGAATGAATATTATATATCCAAAATTATATAATTGTTTTCTTAGTAGTTCCGGACTGTAATGATAGCGGCGCTGAGTTCATAAATTTAATGTTTCACCTTTTAGTGTTGATTTAATTATTTTAATAATAAAAAAAAATGAAATAAAAGAGAAGTAAATGAAAAAATTAAAGGTTTACTCAAACTTACCGGATAGGAGGGAAGGGCAGTCGTCTTCCTTATGTCCTGGGGATGAAACTTCCCTTGAAGTCGCACAATGCGAGGTAAATAAAAGCCGTATTAACAGGTTCACAAAATTTTGCCGGTTGGGATCAATTTTAAACTGTATAGTCTACAATTTAATACGATCGTGTTCATTTTCGTTCTGTGTCGCAGTTCGACAGACTTCCAAATCGGTGAAGGACAAAAAAAGGGTCCAAAGTATAGAATTAGGACGGTTGACTATTGGAATAGGGGGAAATGGAGAAATATGAATTAAGTAAACCTTTATCGTAATTAAATATAAAAATTATGAAATATTAATATTAACAAACGCAAAGCGGTCATAAACAAAATATAAATAATATATGCCCAAATAAAAATAAATATATATGTATATAAAAATAATAGAAAACAAAATATATAAATGTACAGGAACAGAACAGATTGTATCTTGTGTGATCTAGTTTCTCGTAGTTGTACAGTATAGTTTGGTGGTTCCTGGTACCTTATAAAACAACTTCATAGGTATCTATTTAAATTTTCGGAACTTATTCCTAGTTTTTACTACATGTACGCTACGCCAATAAAATTTATTAACTGCATAATTGAATCTCACTAATACTTACCCAACTTTGCTGATGATCATTATCAGTCCATTCTGATTTGCTTCATTCTGTTTTCTGGTGGGTGTAGCTAAGTACCTCTTCCTTGTCAACAATTACCATCTCATCATCTACAAAGAATCAACTACTGCAACAATTATAATCAGTATTTTTGCATTAAGTATAATAATTATGAATTTATGTTTTGTAGGAGACTGTGAAGAAGGAATAGCAATGTTAAGCATCGATAACATCAAGCCTACGGATGCCGGTATTTACTCTTTAACAGTATCAAACGAATTCGGTAGTATATCGTGCAACGCCAAAGTAAATGTAACGAATAGTTATCCACCTGTCCCGGAACCCAAGATTCAAGTAATATCGTGTTCGAGTGTGTCTTTAGAATGGGAAAGCAGCCATTATTCCCAGTTTATCATGGAGTATTGTAAATTAGGATCAGGAGAATGGATTTCACCGAATAATAACCAACCAGTTAATTCTCAGTCTTTTACTGTGGAAAATCTGATTCCCGGAGAGACTTATAGTTTCAGAATTGTTTCAGCTCAAAACAATGTCGTCAGTTTACCGAGCATTGCTGTCACTCTGCCGGTTGCCGAGAATTTGAGGTGGCAGCAGGAACAATTCAAGCAAAGGTAAATATAACGATTTATATCTTGGCGAATAAGAATATAATGAACAGTTATTAGCTTTTAATGCGTTTAAAAAAGAATTATGTTCATCTTCTTGTTAATTTTTCTTGATATTGTATTAATGATGCTGGGCATTGCACACTTTTCTGTTATGAGGCTTTAAATTGCCTCCATGATTTTTCCCAAGTTCCCTTGTGTCAGGATTGTTCTGATACGATCCACGTTTCGTTTGGCCTTCTCAATCATGTCAGTGTGCGCGTTAATAAACAGATGTCGTCTGCATCAGCAAGATCTTCGAGACTTTATGTCAGTTTAATTGTTGCCTCTACCATAATATTTTTTTTAAGGCATTATCTGAAACAATGTTAAATAGGAGTGATCACAGCATACAACTACCATTTTCTTCATTTCCATAAATCTCTTTAATTAAGTTTATAGCCGGCTCAGGTATATCTATATTCTAATATAATTCTTTCTATAGTCGAGTGAGCTAAAGTATTAAAAGCTCTTTGAACAACTGCAATGGGCGTGTTTAGTGAAATTCAAATTTTTTTTTTAAAAGCTAGCACAAAATCTAATCTAAATATTTTTTTGAAATTTTTCTCTTTTCAAATTTTCCTACAAGAATTTTTTAAAATTCAAAAAAATCAAGCAAATTTGAAACGCTCCATATTTATTTTCAAGCATCGTCATAATGAAGCCTAAAATCTGATTGGCTAATTTATAACCTTCCAGACAATAATCGATATGTTTTTACCTTGTTGCCGCTTCCTATAAAGAATTATTGAAATTTCGGATAACGGACAATTTGAAGGTTAAGATCGTATAATTTAACACAAAAACATATATATTAAAACTAAAAGAATACTTGTTTAAATTCAGTTTTTATGAAACAACTTGACACTTACTATTTCAATAAACTTTTCTTCTTAATCGAAATGTTATTCAAATCATAATCGCCATTTCGCAAAATATTTTCTCTGAATCTGGCAACGTGGTTTCATCTCTGCGTCTATAATGTCAAAAATCCTAACCTCGTTTTCGATTGCGAGATTATTTTGATTTATTTTAAAATGATTTAATTTGTTAAAAATGGCTAAAGTACAAACAGGATTAAAAGAAGAATTTTTATACAACTTACCCAAGGTGGATTCTAACATGATTAATGATTTTTTATATAAATAATATAAAGTTTATCGACTCTGAAATTAGCAACGTAAGTACACTTTCTAAGCTCCAAATCTTCCTAGAGATTTGTATTTAAGAAAGAAAAATTTTTTTATTATACAAACTAACTACTTACTATTGTTAAGTTTTTCTATTCTATTGTAGGTCTTCCAAGGAAGTGCACTATCATATGTTCGGTTACCATTTGTAACATTAAAGCTCAGAATTACACCAGAACACAAAACGTTTATAGCGTTATTCAGTAATAAATGAACAAAAGGAAAAGGTCATATCTTGTAAATTCACAGAATATTCTGCTTTCGAAGATAATTTAAATCTGTCCAGGTTCTATTTTTTTTAAGGTGGGTGTATAGTGTTGCTTTCTTGTTGTGGCTTCTGAACACCCTCGAAGCGAATAACCTTCCATCACATCAACATTTGTTATTAGAAAAGGCCATTGTTGTCAAAAGTTTGATATTTTAATGATTAGAGGATGTCGATTCTTCTTCGAATTAAAAACATTAAATTTGTGCTTTTTATAAGTAATAAGAGTGAATAGATTTATATCGAATGCAAAGTGACCAGATAATTATACTTCCATATTCAACTGCAAATGTTGCTTTCTAATAAACAATGGGTTTCTGTGTGGAATATTCAAATTTTGAAATAAATAAGGACTTTCAAATAATAGAAGTTTATTTTTCATGATATGAAGCCGGCAAATATTTTTTTGGAATTGTTATATATTTATAATGAATTCAAATAAAAATAAGTTTTGTCATTTTCTTCATATTTATTTATCAATTACCAATTATATTACCGTTAACAGAGTCTTTTAAAAAGGTTTATTTATGGTAAGACATTGACAATTTACTGTATAGGTATTCTATCATCATAAGCAAAACCCCAGTAACTTCGCAAACTATAAATGGAGATATTTGCAATAAAAGAAATTATTAGTGCCAGCATTTTTATCGGTGGTACCAATATAGCTGCATTTGATGAATCAAAGACAATTTTTGGATAATGCTTTGAACTCTAAAAATAAGTTTAATTTGTTCTTTGTGTTGGCTCGTATTTTAAAAGGTTTTTGCTACAAAAGTGTTAGTTATGGTGTAGAATCAAGTTGACTTTTTAGGACATAGAATAAATATTACATTTTGCTTACTTTTTAAGAAGAAAAAAGCTTTAGTATCAAAATGGTCAAATAAACTCAAATATTTGTAATTTGTCAGTTACGGGGGTTAGGCTTATGACGGCGTATAGTCCAGGCATTTACTTTTGTGGAGTTGCATAGATTTCGCAAAACTACCAGAATTAAAAAAAAAAAACACTTAAATGATTTGCATATTTTAAAGGATTTGTTTTTTAAGTACATCTATTAGCTTTTGTTAAATACATATTAATAATAAAAACATATATAAACATAATATATAAAACACAAGTTTAATAAATTAAGTTTTTGTACATATTGTAGGTAACTTATATATACATTCCTATTCAAAAAGAATACAATAAATAACAGGCAAGCTTTATTATAATAATTTTAAGTAATTAATAACATTTATATATGGAATGACAATACAATTCAAATTTTCAATCTTTTTTGGCAGGGTCAGTTAAAGAACCTTTTAGATGGTATATTTATAAAGCACATCTTGTTTTATTGTCAAATTTTTACCTATAATTTTGAAATGGATCAAGTTTTCTGCATCTGCTTCCACCTAAAAAATAATGCAAACTAGTTAGGTAGTACTCTCAGAAACAGTGATAAGTAAAAAGGTAGATACACCTATATTGTCCTACTAGTTGATCAACTAGGTGAACTAGGTAAGTTTTATCAATTTATATCACATTGGAAACAAAAAAAATACAAGATTATCTTTACTTACATCAAAATACAAAAGCACTATGGTGGTTGGTATTTTGCAACAGCCCTTATACCACTATCGTTTTTGAATGTCTAGGTCTAGATTTTGAGGAGCTTTTGTAAACATTTTATCAGGTTGACTGGTTTTTTTTTTACTTCTCATAGAGACCAAGTACTTAACCAGATATTTTTAATGTCACACAAAATTAAACAAATGTTTATTTTATCACACTTTTTAAAAGCAATTTCAATGTTTTGTTTCCAACAATCGATTTAAGCTATTTGAGGTTAGAAATTTTGACATTTTTGTATCATGAGAAATGAAAACAATTTTAATCCGATTTTAGAAAGAGATGTCACTATTAGAACTGTCTAGTGTTACGGTATCATAGATTTTTTAGTGACCAATAGAAATAGGCGCTTCATTATGACGCGGTTAATGGCGCAAAAATGGAGCGTTTTAAATAATTGATTTAAAAGTGAACTTTTTAAAGTACTATAACTTTATTATTTATTATCTATTTAAAGAATTTATTGCATAAAAAAAAAGAGTTTTTTGTACTTAAACACGTAATAGTATTAGATTCGTTAAATTCGTTTACACTAAACACGCCCATTATACGATATTCATTTGGTCAGTGTGAAACATCAGTGTGAATCCCGCTTGTTCTTTCTGTGTATTGAACTGTGTCAATAATTTGATTTATATATGTTAGCAATAGCAATTAACTGACTTATTATGTTATCTTCAATTTTCGCAATATTTTTGAGAAACATTTGTATAGGCAACAATGTACCTCTACCATTATTTTCTTTACTTTTAGATACATAGAGCTTGACGAAATAGACCGAGGAAGATTTTCCGTTGTCCGATTAGCTAGAGACAGGGGAACGGGAGAAGAGGTGGCACTAAAGCAAGTGATTCGACGAAAACAACCACATCATGTTACTCAAGAAGAATACTCATTATTATCGGGAATGCAACATTCCAATATTATTAGATCTTTGGCTTTATTCGATAATGCTCCTCTACCAGGCATCGATACCATCATTTTGGAACTGTAAGCATTTATAAATAATAACAATGTGAAAGTAGTTTAGATCTCATTTTTATAATTTTTTCTTTAATAAGTTATTATTTGTTTTAGAGTCAAAGGTCCGTTATTATTTAAGTACATCAGTGATAAAGAAACATACAGTGAGTCTGACGTTCGAAATTATACCACCCAGCTAATATCTGCCTTAAAATGGTTACACCATAAAAGTATTGCACATCTGGATGTCAAGGTAAATCTATTTTTTTAATGTCATTATTAGTATTTTTTCTGTAATTAACCCTAGGACTCTAATTAACATTGTTTCTCTGTTCATAGTTAACTATAAAACGAGTAATTAAATTATTACTAAATGGTTCAGTAAACAATATACTAGTTGTTAAGAATACCCTTAACAAAAATATTAGAATCGGGGAAATGACTAGACCGCCCCTCTGTAACATTTACTTAAGTATCAATTCGGAGAGAGGTTGGTAAATTCACTAAACAGAAAACAACTAGCGCGGTTGTTATCCAATACAGATGTACGAATTTGAAATCTATAATAATGACTGGACAAAGAAAATCTATTGATAATATGTATGCGCTAGCCGTAACGGTTTGGAATCACGTCGACGATGGAACGTGTCCTTCAGACTTGTCTCAACTATAATAACCGACACATCAACAATTGGGTAACAACCCACGCTCTTATGGCGACCAAATTATAAATGTTCTGAGTACAGTATGTTTACATAGTGTAAATAAATAATAAATATAGTGTGGTGTTCTTCATGTAAAAAAAAAAACAGTGTTAAATGCAGATGTGCTTGTTTCTTTCTATCATCGATAGTTAACCCAAAGCCGGCAGCTTGTAAAAACATGGAATACAGTCCGCTTCAAAATCATAGCATAATAGAGCCTGTAAAAGGTAAGAACAGGCATCATAAACACTAGTTATTCCTTAGCTCCATTTCATGTGTATTTTTATTGCTGCTCCAGTCTAGAGGTCAGTTTGTTGGTGCGATATACCAAAGGTCGTGGGTTGATTTCCAATTTTTCTTGTATGTATTCCTGAATTTCCTCTTTGATCTTTTTGTATATGTAGGTACTTGTTCCAAAGTAGCATTTACTTCATTTTATCTTAGACCGTCAGATTGTGACCGATTTAGGTGCCCCTAATTTGCATGCAAGCCTCAAAGTGGGTTGAAACATCGATTTTGAGTAGAATGAAAGGAAATGTACGAGTGGCTCCTGGGAACAACATATGGAAAATTCGATTTTCCTTATCAAAAATTAAAGGTTTGCCCATATTTTCACGCAAACCGTGTTCACTAAATGATTAACTAATAGAACTAGGCTTCGGAAAACCAAGAGCTTTGATGGTGCAAGTGACTAAAGGTTTGAAATAATGGCGTAATCTTTTAAGATAAAATCGAGATTTTAATCGATTTTTCCACACAAACCCATCGAATGTATGAAAACGTAGAGAATTTTTCATTATATTTTGACCACTACTTATTTTCATTCAGATTTAAATTTATTTTTGTGCACTATTTTCGATCAATTGATACCTCAAATTCGTACAAGCCACGTCTTCGCACCACAATGTGACGTAGCATCAAATCTGCTTAATCTCGTACCATTTTTTTAAAGTATCACGGATATTCCTTGATGTGGCTGATCATCATGTTTCAATTGAGTCATTGAACCTAAAAAATAACAAATATCAATAAATAGAAATCGGAATTTATTCCAAAAACATTTTTCTGTAGGAATTATATAGGATGTCTCATTAATATACTGACAAACTTTTAAAGGTGAACATAATATGAACATAATATGTTCGAAAATGCTTCGTTTTTGAAACACATATTTATTAAGCAAAAAAGTTTATTTTGATGTCCCCTCTACCACCCCTAAAAGTTGGTCGGTATATTTACAGAACCCTTTGTATATTTAAATCTGTACAATGTAGGTACTCATCAGATTCTTGTTTAAAAATATAGTAAAACATAGTTCAGAAGTTACAGGGAAACTATTACCCTATATTACAAAATACATTATGGGCAGGTTGTACAAAGAATAATGTAAACTCAGTTTAGCTAACAGGAGTTTAATTTTTAACTGGTTATATCCAAAAAACAAATGTCATTCTGAAAACTATGTTTCACAATAACCGATGAGTATACAACAAGGTTCACAGTTTATACTAAGTCTACATTTTAACTGCCTATTGTACAACCCGCCATATGTACAATTAAAAATTAATTGTATTTCTTTAAAATGCATTTGATTCTGTTGATTAAAACCATTTGATAAAACAATTAAAAAGTATGGGTATGAAGGTGGTTTTTTATATCTAAGCTATATATAAAGCATGCATTGGAGTAGCGTGTAGTAGCAGGACAGAGAGGTTAAAATTAAATAACATATGCAGTGGGATTCTCATCTCTCGGTACGTCTCCTATCGAGACTCCTATCTTCGTTCGACAGACAGCGATTTTAATGTAATGTCTCTCTCTATTCTGTATGTAATGTGTCGAGTTCGCACATAAGAATCAGAAGAAATTAACCACATCAAACTTGTTACACATGAAGAAAATTAAGTCCCCTGTTATTTTAATTTATATCAATGATATTGTTGATGTCGCAAGGGTCAATATGATATTTACCTGTTTGCTGATGTTCTTATCTATATTTCTTGTAAGTTGTAAGGATTCAGATAACTTAGTAAGAATTATTAATGTAATTCTGCAAAATGTTTATAAATGGTGTTGCAATCATTTGTTAAAAATCAACACAAATATAACAAAATATATGCTGATAAGTAATAACTATATACAGTTTGTGGACAAATAATATAGGAAATTGGAGGAAATTCTATACAGTTAGTAGAAAAATTCAAATATTTAGGGGTAATTATTCGGAAATAGATTAAATTCACAGACCATATGCAAATACTGTTATTGAAACAATTGCAGTGAAATTACATTTCCTATTTAGAAATTAATTATATTAATTATTATATTATTACATTATTTTTTACTAAATTTGAATATTGTGATATTAGCAAACTAGCCAAATAAATAAAATAAAAATGAAATAAAAAACGAAAACATACCTTTTCTGGATCTACAATAATTGGAAATATGTTCATTTAATCTTTTAAATTATTAAAGTCCATAAAATTGAAATGACAAGTCAAACCACAAACATGAAACTTTCAAAACAAACATATGTGTGTTGTGTTCCAAACAGACAATACCATTTAGAGAATAATTTATTTTCTTGAAACCTTTCCCGGCACAGTACCTCGCCCCTCACCTAGGAACATTATCAAATTGGGCTAAGTCGGTTTTACATTGCAATTTTTCACTTTAGTGTCTATTCCGTCTGTTCAGATGGCATCTTATGGATAGTACATTTTTAAATCTTAACACAAGTTGCCTGAAATAATTAGGCAAAAATAAAAGAATATATTTGGGGTTTTAGCTTTTTATATACTATAAAAAATGGTGGAAAGTCCATAACTTTTAAATATTTGTTAAAAATCACTTATTAAAATATTATACATTAAAAGTAAAACAAACTATAGACTTTCCACCATTCTTTACCGTACTCTGAACCCATTGTTAAAAACAATTTTTGAAAATATTATCGTTCAGAGCTGTATTTTTTGTGATTAAAACGTCGCCGTCACTTGTCATTGACAACGCGTTGAACTGGGACTTAATATTGATATTTCATAAAAAAATGGTTTTACATTACTTTCAAAATACCCTGTATAATTTACTGGCCCATATCACATATGTCAATCTTGTTAATGAAACTAATCCCTTCTTTATTTATATTTTTATTTTCAAGTAGGCAAAATGATCATATTACATATTACTAAATAAATGTTTTTTAACCTTTCAGCCAGAAAACATCATGGTAGACGTCTCGTTTCCCACACCCCTGCTAAAATTAGTCGACTTCGGTGACTCAGTCAACACGTCGAAAAACGTAATCTTGCCACCCGCTTGCCTGGAATTCGCCTCTCCCGAACTGGTCCTCGGCCAACCCGTGGGCACCCACACGGACTGCTGGGCCCTCGGGGTTTTCCTTTATGTAATGTTAAGCGGGGTTTCCCCATTCCTTGACGATTCCGTGGAAGAAACCACGGCGAACATTTTAAAATGTGATTTCTGTTTTCCCGATGAGTATTTCGGCGAGGTATCTCAAGAGGCGAAGGAACTGACGAAGTCTTTGTTGGTGCTACTGCCTACACAAAGATTAGACATGGAGAAGTGTCTTCAATGCGTTTGGATAAAAGAGGTAAGTACTTAGGTGCCGAAGTCTAGAACAATAAAAGCACAATTAGACTACATACATGATATGTGTGGCTATAAAATAAAGAAACTGATGTTGTATAACTGTTTATTTTAAATAGGTGATAAGTTTGAGTAGCGGTTTTTTCCAGTTTTATTATATTACATTTCACAATTTGTTGCTCTATTGAAACAATTATAATTTTTTCTGGCATAACAAAAAATAAAACTTATGTCATGAAGGCCTCAGTTAGACTAATATATCTTCAGACACGGGAGGGGTGGCAATCCATGCTACACATCTGTCTATCATATGACTTCAGCGTATGCGCAGGTGGTCTGTAGTAGCAGTTTCACTCGTTATTTTATAGTCAACTTCGTACATGTTTACAGGTTTACATGTTTATAGGTTATATAAATGACTGATCTGATTTATTCTGAGTTTAAAATCGTGTATAAAAAAACAAAATTAAGTCGTAAACATACATTATTTTTTTTAGAGTCGCTCCTCAATTGTATTTTCGATATTTTTTATATTCTTTGATTTCGTGGTACTAATGTTGTAACAAGAATAGCTAATTCGCCATAAAAGAAATTTTGGTTCCACTTACAGTTAATTATAAAAATACGTTTAACAATATTTGACATATACGTTTTTATTGTCAAATATTTTTAAGAAGAACGGGATAACGGTGGTCCTTTATTACCAATAAATGCATTCATAGAACGTGTAGCAGCGGCGTTAAATTTGAATATTTCGACGGTAAGCTCAATTTCCTAGGCATTAAGGAATAACTAAATAACTAAATTCTCCTCCAAAAAGGCGACGACATCCCAAACCTGTAAGCGAAATTTTTAATTCTGACTACGTTTTCAATATGTATAAGAAGAAACAACAAGTAACCCATGCAACATCATGCCGTCATTATGACGTGATTTTTTGGTGTGCGTTACGTCATTTGATGACGTGAAAATAACGGTATGGTAACGTGAGAATGTCACAGCGAAATGACGTCATTCCATATCGTCATTTTGACGAATCGATATCACGTTAGAGTAACGTGTATATCGGGTGTCCTAGGCTAGGCAAATTGACGTCATTATCACGAATCTACCTAACGTCAAAGTGACGTCTACATTGGGTGTCCCAAGGTTGGATGGAATTATTAAAAATACTAAGCAGATGAAAGTTATTTATTTAATCAAAAAAACACTTGAAAAATATATTATAAAAAATAAATTACACTGGTAAATAAAAAAGTCATGTGCAAGAAACCAAAAGGAATAAAATGACAAAAGAATATTAGAGGAACTGACACAACATACCTAAAATTGTATATTTGATTTTAATTGGGGGTGGGCAAGCATGCTTTACGATTTCATCATCTTCAGTATCATCGAATGACAGCTTTCTAGTTGGCACCTGTTTTCTTTTAGTAGGTACTTTATCAGCCTCGGAATGTAGATCTGAAGTAACTTCGACTTTTTTTAATTTGGTACATCACTTATCATTATCATCTAAAATAAAAGAACTATTAAAATACATATCACTGAAAATTCTTAAAGATAGAAAGTAAATTGTGTATCTAGTTGTAAAATTTGAGGGGATTACTTCACCGGAGATTGAGGTAGTAGCCCCAAAAACTACCTTCTCAGAGGTATACATATAGTCTGAGTTTATAATAAAAGTTATTAAAAAAAAGATCATATATTCTGTGAGACGATAAAAGGTATCTAAAACAAGTGACCCCCTACAAATCTTTTATTTTTAAATAAACTATTAAAAATTACCCTCAAAGAACTCATAATTAAAAAATAAAAGTATAACATTACTCACCAGTCTTATATTATATTTCTTTATATATTTCTTTATAAAGGCGATCAAGACTTGTTTTTTACGCAGCATCAGCCATTTTCTGCTCACCTCACAACCGCCAGACCGTTATCATCCGGTTTTTCAAACTCAACAATACCATACATCTGTAAAATGCCCAATTCGGTTTAATATACTTTATTATTTTGTCACAATCTATTTTTTACCTTTTTCTAAAACATCTTATCAAATAAAGTACAATTTAAAAATGCACCACGTTCACGAGGTCACGGCTGTCACAAGAATCATGAAGATGGAGGCAACAGGAAACAACAATGACAATTGACATATGACATTGCCAGAAATATACAAAAAAAAACGTAACTGTGACGAATTCTAAGTGACGTCTATTCTATGTCATCAATGTGACTTCAAATACACGTTACTGATTAGGATATTGTATTTCAGATAAATGAATAATAAAAAATTACGTCATAATGACGAGTCTGTCTTGACGTCTAATTAACGTAACAAAAACTACGTCAAAGTAACGTCATTAATTGGGATTAATCACGTCATAATGACGGCACCTTGCTGCTTGGGAACTCTTGCGAAATTACATGAAACTTTTAACGCAAAAATAAATATTTACGGACTGCAAAAGATCATTGTATATAGTGCTAACCAACATAGGATTTAAATGAAAGAAAGATGATCCCGGTGGGGTCTTATGAAACTTCCTCATGTTGCCAGTAAAAGACTTAGTTTTTAAAGTTATACACAAGTACAAAAAATCTGTCTCTATATAAATTTATCTGGATGAAACGTGGATTTTTCCAAATGGTACAGTGAACCGCTCTTGACAAAATAGCGATAAAAGGATCGTCAAAACTATAAGAGTTGATGGAAAAAGGTTATTGTTCTTCATGCTGGTAACGAAAATGGCTTTATTGATGGGGCAGAACTGATGCTTTCATTAAATAGTAACAATCCCAACTATTATGGGAAAATTAATGAAGAAAATTTTTGAAAATGGCTCGAGAATCAATTATTTATTAATTTAAATGAGCCTTCAACGATTTTTATGGATAATGCTTCCTATCACAGCCCGTTACTTTTTAAAACGTCCAATAATTCCTGGACAAAACCTGAAATTCAGGATTAGCTGATTACACACAACATTCAATTTGATCAGAATATGTACCTACAAATAATATTTATTGAACACAGTCTTCAGAAATAAACCATCAAAAATGTATAAAGTAGATCAACTTGCAGAACAATATAGCCACACAGTTATTCGGTTACCTCCTTATCATTGTACATATTTATACCAATTGAAATGATTTCAGGTATTGCCAAGAATTATTATAAACAGCATATTGGTAGGGATGGCAATTCAATTCAAAATTCTTTAAGTATGTGGAGGGAAGCACTACAGACTGTAACCCTCCTTAATCTTGTATCAGTCGTACTGAAAATGATTTAAAAATGCTGAAATTTTATTTGAACGGGAGGATATTTTACCTGTAATTAATTATTGATTTTAATGATAATAGGGATATTGATTCTTAATTTGAATAAAGCCTTACTTTGTTGTTTATTTTTATTCTATTTATTTATATTGGAAGAACTACTTCCGAAAGCTTCTAAAATTGTATAATATACAATGTGTCCATTTAAGTTGGAACCTTATGGAAAACTTTTTTATTATCGGTTTTGTGAAAAAAAATTTTTCTTGATAAAAAGTTTTGCATGGTCCAAAACTTGAAATAGAACGATCAGATGTCAATTTTTTTAAGCTGTATACGAGGTTTGTCAAAAAAATATGAATTTTGCCGAAGAGAATAGTACCTTTTTTCGACAAACCTCATATGCGACTAATAAAATTTGATATCTGGGGGGCTATTTTCAAACTCGAGAGAATTTATTTCTCTCAAGAGAAATGTCATACGTCAACATAAAATAGTATTTTTAGGGCCCTTAGGGCCAGTGTGAACTCACTGACTGTTTCTCTCGGTTTATTTAGAGAGAATTAAAATTCTCCTAAGAATTTTAATCCTCGAGGCCTCTAAAAACAGCGTTTCTACATTGACGTATGACATTTCTGATGAGAATCTTGAGAGAAATGGGTGCTCACATGCTTTGAAAATAGGTCTCCTGATGATTGTATTTCAGGTTTTAGATCATGCTCGACTTTTTAAGAAGAATAACTTTTTTCCTAATAATAATAAAAAAAACGTTTTTCATATGCCACCAATTTACGTAAGTTCTTTGAAAAGTTATTTGACAAAGAAATATTGACTCGTATTGTTCAACAAACTAATATTCTGACCAAAAAAAAACAATTTTTTTTGTCTCCAAAACATATACAGATATTTATTGGTATACTTTTGTTAACGAGACATCACCAGTTACCTAATGAAAGACATTACTGGAGCCTAGATGCGGATGTTAGAGTATCATTTGTATCTGCAGCTATGTCGAGAAATAGATTTCAAGACATAAAACGGTATATACATTTTGCGGATAATACTAATTTAGATGTAAATGACAAAACTTAAACCTCTAGCAAATATTTTGAACCATAAATTTAAACAGTGGGGTATGTTTTATCAAGATCTGTGTGTTGATGAATCAATGATAAAATACTTCAAGCACACAATTTATTAAAGGAAAACCAGTTTGGTTTGGCTACAAAAACTGGCTGCTATGTAGTTCAACTGGCTACTGTCACTCCTTTGACACCGGTTGCGTGGCTAAAAAAAATACTTGTATACAAAAAGTTCTAGAGTCGTTTTAGAAATGATATAGTTTAGATGTACCTTCAAACCATACCCTATACTTTGACAACTACTGCAGCAGTTATGATTTGATGAAATCGCTAAAAACTAAAAACCTACGGGCAACAGGAACAGTTCGAGCAAACAGAATCAAAAACTGCCCGTTGTTTACTCCTAAACAATTTAAGAAAAAGGAGAGACGATATTACTAGTATAGATATGACAAGAAAGTGGGATTATTTGTCAGATGGAAGGACAACAATACTGTAACCATTTGCACTAATTTTGATTCTTTGGAACTCGTAGGTAAAATCAAGCTGATGGTCTTCAATTGCATAGTCGAAAGTTGACGTACCAAGGAATTAAAAATTATAGAATTGGCATACGTAGAAAAAAGTGGTGGTGGGTACTCTTCACCAATATGATAAATATGATTGTCGTAAATGCATGGAGACTGAGTCAATTGTGCGGAGAAGAACCCATGGGGCTCTTACAGTTCCAAAGTCATTATTTATCTTCTTATCAAAAAGCATCCACTGCAAAAGAGAGACCTCCAGGTGAAGTCGTGCCTAGAGTGAGAAGACACGATTGTGGAGATTTTCCTCAAAAACTAGAAAAACAGTTAAGATGTACCAAGTGTCAACAAAGATCCCGTTGGAGTTGCCTAAATTGTGTTGTAACACTATGCTTTGAAAGAAACTATTTCAGGGCATATCAATGTGAATTGTATCTATATTTTTAAGTTTTCTTCATATCATCCCACTGTACCCATTTGAGTACACCTATATATCTAAGAACTCGTTGTTTTTTTTTATTTGGTTACATTTGACAATTTTGTTAGAACAATATTTTAATAAATAATTTATTAAATTTAATAGTTTTTTTTTAAATAGCCGTGGGGTATAATGGGTTAATTTTTTAAAGTGTCAAAAGATATAGTTCAAATTAAACATTAGATTTTTGCAAAATGTTTCTTGAGATCGTCGAATTCTGTAGCAACGTGGTAACGTCTACTTTCATGAGTTTATAACATGGATTGGAAATTTCGTTGCATTTACTTTAACATAAAACTGGACGTTCAATGTCTTCTCAACATTACAAATGTTTAAAATTTTGGACGACCGTAGACGGTCTCTCTGGTCTCTGGATTTCGTCCTAATGAATATCCGTCTATAACGGTAAAAATGTATATTTGTAAACTTAATGAACACTTTGTTTATTGCTTCTATATGCGTAATACATAGTCTGTTCCATCTAAGAGAATTAATTAAAAGTGGGTAGTCGACTGATTCATTCATTGCATTTAATGCAATATTTTTTTAAATTATCAATTGTTACAAAAGGAAATAAATGTGAAATTTATATGAAAAAATGCGAAAATTAAACGGATTCTAATTAACATCTCAATATTGTTTTTACCATTAAAAAGTTAAAATATCCGATATTTTAAACAAAACAAGTAAATAATTAGGGAAGAAAACATTTTTTTCAAAAAGTATAATTTGACAAGTAATTGATTTCAAGTAATTTTTGAAAGTCATGGTTAAATAATAATTTACATATTACAATTTATTAAAAATTATAATGTTTTGGTCAGCAAAAAAAACTTCACTCACACTAAATAAAAATGAATATAAAATTGTTATTTTTAATCAAATCAATAAAAATGGCGATATAGCAAGTTGGATTTTTGCAATACCTTATAATTGGACAAACGATGATATTGTTGGATAAACTAATTTTAATAAAAAATTTGAACCAAATATAAGATTTCTTTATTGATCTAAGCTGAGTGCACACAGCCGTTATCGTTTGGTTTCTTTTAATAATGCTTTGACAAGATCACAAGTGTAGACACTAGACAGTACAGAGCAGCGTCAAATTTTTCTGACCAATCTCTGTTGGTAGCTTGTTACCGATTAATGTGCAATGCTGATAATAATTTAATAAGATTTTGACAGAATCTGTTTTGCCCATAAATATGTAATCTACACGGTAAATAAACACTTTGGGCTCATTTCTCTTTGTTTCAGACCCTTGTTTTTGACCGTTTTTAAATGAGATCTTGTACATTATTATTTTATTATTTAATATTTTTTTCTTTTTTCAGGCCACAGGTTCAGCAGCAATACCTTCAGCCAGATTAAAGATGTTCATGCAACGAAGACACCCTATGAATCTGACACCCTCCTGTAACCTTACTTATTATAGAGAGGACGTTCTTTAGTCGAACTTTTAGATATTATTTATATACATTTTACAATACAATTTTTGACCAAATGGATATATTGTACTTCCGTTTCAGCTTGTTAAGCATATATTTATAGTATATTTTAATTATGTATAAAAGTATAAATACAATTTTGTTAAAACTTTTTATTATTTTATTTTATCTAAAAACTTCTTTTACAAAAGTTCTTGAATGTTTGAGGAAGTAAAGTAATGATTATATCTTCTTTGTTTATCTCAAAAATTTTAACGTGAGGGTGGAATAATGTGGTTTTAGACAAGTGGGACGTGCTTCAATATTTCCATTTTGATATTAATTTTATTTTATTTCATCAAATTATAGTTCTGGATTGGTTGTTCTGTTTAATGGATAAAACTTATTTTTTATTAAATAAAATATGTTTTTAAATATACCGCAAGTGGGTTGCCTAAGAAAATATGGTCACGGCCATTTTTTACTATCCTTTCTGTGTACAGATAAAGAAAGTATAAAAATCATGATAAAAGTTGTTTATGATGTCATTATCTATTATTTTGTTCATATACATGATTTTCCTAAAATGAACCTAATTCGAGATATTTGAGGAAAAGTGCAAATTTCGAATTTTGAAGACAACTCATAAACGGATGAAGAGAAAAACACCAAATTTTAAACTTAAGCTTTAATCCATCCTGCGGTGAGCTGATTAAAGTTTGGGCATAGTTGAAGCATCTGGGGAATACTTTACAGGGTGTCGTTTTTTTTACTTTAAGAAAAAAAATAGTCTGGACCGTATTTTCTTAGGCAACCCATTTGCGGTATATTTATAAATATATTTTATGTGATAAAAAGAAACTTTCATCCATTAAACAGATGGGTGAAGGTCGACCTTACTTCGGATCTTAGGCTATAATGTTTTAATTTTGAATAATACATAATTCAAAAATAACAGCTGCATTGACTGAAACTAGCAGCCAGAGTTAGCAGCCTGTGTGAGAAAATGCATACAAGTTAGATAATCACAAAATAAAGCAATATAACTACTTAATTTGTCTTATAATAATATTAGTAATAATAATATTAATGATAATAACAAAGTGAGGTTATCCGTATTTGGAAAAATAAATATTAGTAAAAAATGAAATGAATATAGGTACTTTAAAAAAAACTTTAAATATATATTCAAATTTTTCTTAACGAAAAATTATCGGCGCTTGGTTAAATCATACATAAATAGATTCCTCAAGTAGTAGGGTACAAGAACACGTCAATCAAAAATACAACATCGAGTGCTGGATTGTTGAAATTATTATATTTGTATGCTAGAGTAATACGTAACAAAAAAACATTGTTTTTTTAATGAAAAATTAACGGCGCCGGGTTTTATCATACATAAATGGAATCCTCAAGCAATGTGCTATAAGAATAAGTTAATCAAAACTATAATTTCCAGTGGTGGAACGTTGAAAATATCAAAAATATTTAGGCTCTGAAGACACTTCATATAAAAATATGATTTTTCTAAATGAAAAATTATCAGCGCTGGGTTTTATGATATATCAGTGGATTACTTAAACAATAGTCTACGAGAATACGTCAATTTAAAATACAATATCAAGTGATAGAACGTTGAAAATAATTAAAATTAGTTAGGCTAGAGAAATATTTCCCATAAAAATATGATTTTTCTTTAACAAAAATGGGGCATGTTCAAACATTTTGAAATCTTTTTTATAATTAATAGAGTTCAAAATAAAGCTACATTTAAATTTTTTATTTTTTTTCATCTATTCATTTGTCCGAGTTATTAATTTTTTAAAATTTATGACGTCACCGGGAATAGACCAATAGGAATTAGCCACACAACGTTGCCAGTTAGACGGTATACGAAAAGTAATATACGTTCGTTTGTGTGCAGCGTCTTACTTTTAGACTTCTAAAATATCGTTAAACAAATATCTTTTAAATATAAAATATCAAATGTTTTTAAAAAACGACAACTAATAAACAAGAAAATGGAAATGCGGCAGCACTGCATGTGTCATCTGTTTGATATTTTTATAAATATTATGAGTATGAAAAAAATGTTTCCTCCCAAGATGTGATAATGTTTTACATTCATTATTAAAAATATTTATTAGTGTTGCTAGAAATATGAAAAGATGAAAACTATTATCATTGCACAGAAACGCTTCAAGGAACAGCTATATTATTTTGTTGAGGTTTGTATCTATATTCTTTATTAAAATAAAAATGTTTTATTGTAATTTAATTATTCAGTTATCTACCATTGTAGTAACGATGTTGTTTTCTTTATTTTAGATACCAGATGATTTTGAAAACTGTTCATTTTTTAAATGATGGATAAACCCAGGATAGCCGTTTCCCCTGTAAATAGTTGGTAACAAGTTTGTTTGACCTCGACAGTAGCGCGCTGAGCGCGTTATGATGAACTATAATTCGGTACAGTCGGTAAAGTAGAAAACTACTAAGTAAAGCGATTTAAACAATGGCGGGCTTCAAAATTTATGAAATTGAAGCAATTTCAAGTAACATTTTTATATTTTACAGCTTTTACTTACAATAATTGAAACAATCAATAAATAAAATGAATTTTTATTGTAAGTAAATGCTGAAAAACGGAAAATGTCACTTGTTTTAAATGAAAAATAAAAACATTTGTAATAAGTTTATTTTATTTAGAATAGGTAACTATGTCATTACATTATATTAAACATCATATTCACAATAAACAAACACAAAATTATTGCAGAGTAAAATGTAAGATAATGTGACAATTATTTTACTATTAACAAAAACTGGGTACAAATTTAAAAAAATTATAATTTCAAAAAAATTAAAAAGAAACAAAACAGTCATATCTATAAATACAATTATTGTTTTAAAAATCCCTAGTATTGACTTATTATTACACAAAATATATGTTATGCCTACATTTTGATCTTAATTTTACTTATTAAGCGCCGATTCCACCGTTGTGTTAAACGGAGATTAAAATGAGATTGTTAATGTAAAAATGTCATTTTAAACTTCCTTTAACACAACGGTGGAATATCGGTCCTAAGCCAACCAATTTTTCCTGATCAATTCAATTTTAATATAATAATATATGTAAAATTAAAACATTGTTTTATGTCTGATTTACAAAAACTTTAAATTATTTATTCTAAATCTCTGTAAAAGTTTATCGGGCAACTAAATTTTAATGAATGTTCATGCAACCCACTTAGTCAAGCATTTTTTTTCTGACTCCTTTATCCATTAATATTCTCAAGCTCTATTGAGTTGCCTAAACTATAGGAAGACCAGTTGTTTTGAAATTTTATTGGTTAGGCAACTCTGGCACTGTACCACTCTTTTATCCTTTTACTCATCTATCCCGAGATCTATCCATCTATTTCAGTCCAGCTTAGTTGCAATGCCCATTGCAAAAGTCTCCATACCCACGGATATCTAAAACAAAACAAAATAATAAAGGTGCAGTGTATCTTAAAATTAATAATTAACATAGGTTTATATTCTTTTTTAAATGCTTAGAAATATCTTTAGTTTTTTATAATAAAAGGTACACAAATTTTCAACAATTTTGAAAAACAGACATCTGATTTGCTCTTGGTAAACTAACCATGGAAAATTAACATGTTCGTAAAATATAAAATTAATTTTTTAACAATGCATTCTATATGTCCATATTGGGTAGTATTTGAAAAATATATTTATAAATAGTACCCAAAAAATTGAACAATTTCTTTTGAGCATAAATCAAATGCCTTTTTATCATATTCTTTTAAATGTGTAAACCTATGATGATGTTCTACAATACCTGCTCGTAAATTGCCTGTACACACTTCCCATTTCTTACACGCGGTTTCTCTATTAAAGATTTCTCGACACATTCAATTTTATCATTAAAAAATTCTACTTTCTTTTAGTTGATGTTATATTTGAAAAAGTTTAATCAAAACATCACTAATTACATTTATTTTTGCAAGTAAATTTGATGAAGGCATTATAAGTTAATGACATCCTTAGAACCTCAGTATATTTTTACAGCTATAATTACTTAAATCTAAAATACTTAATTAAATTTTACTCACCTACATTTTCTAAAAACATATGTCATTTTTTAGTGTAACATAACCTAATTTATTATCAAAGCCAGATTTACACCACTTCTTAATATTCAAATTTAGCTTTAACTTTATATATTTATATTAATTATCCCCGTATTTGATCATATATTGTATTAAAGTGATATTTAAGAGATTGCATTAGTAAAGTTATTGATTTCTTTATTTATTCATTTTTTAATTATTATATGAGTGTAAAAACGGCTTTATATTTAGTGATCGCAGCGCGTGAAGAGCGATATGATAAACTACAAACAAGGAAACAATTCTCGCCTATTATTCAAACCTTCTGTTTTAGTTTTTCTATGGATAAACCTTTATATATAAGAAGTGGGTAGTACCACACAAATGTCTCCACAGTTCTTGTTATTCACCACACTAGAGCCAGCTCACTGATTCTACCAAAAAAAGAAAAATAGGAAACAAAACAAATGTTGACTGGAAAATTACCTACTACTAGAGGCATTTTTCATCTCTATTTGATAAACATACACCGGATCTTCAAGATGCAGCAGCAATTTCTGACATTGCCCCGTTCGGTTAATTTAAAATGAGCCTGCTATAAGTTCGAAGGTGTATATCCTAAAACCCCTTCTGCAAGAACCTGCCTTGAAACCTCCTGAAAGATATAAAGATAGTGAAGTTTTGTCTGAATCGAAAGAAACATCTTTAATATCTGATTCAAAGGGACTTAATAATAAGCAGGATCTTCAAAACCAATGAACTCTCAAAATTGAAAATAAACCGAAGCTATATTTAGGACTGCCCAACAGTGTTTTTAAAATCCTCAATATTTATGAGAAGGAAAGTGTAGCTTACATAAACCTTTTACATTTCTATGTGAATTAGTGGTATTTTTAACTTAAAAGAACTTATTTTGTAAGACTAAATACCAAATAATTTAATAAACTGTTTGTTTGTTTTTTATTAATTTATCACATTTCAGAGATTATAATAATTGTATATACACAAAAATGTAAAATCTGTGAAAATTTTATTTATTAACCTATTATTAAAAAATAAAAATAACTGAATAAGATAAACGAAGTAAAAAACACTTTATTTACAAATAATAAAAAATATATACACAAGCCCTAACAATAATGGGGATGTATTTTCAAGAGTACATTTTTATATATTCCTATTTTTTCAATTTTTATTACTTTTCAATGTTCCAAATTATTTCATAAAATATTATAGTAGATTTATTCGTGTAAAGATTAGACATGCGTATAATAGTTGTAACGGAAAGAGTTTGTATATTTACAAAAAGTAGTCATTCATTCACAAAAATGTACTTATATTACAATTATTTACAAGACATAATATAACAAGTAGGTAATCCTCGACCAAATAAAAATAGTATTACAGTAAATACATGTGAGGCGCTGAGTTCCAAAACTCGCTTCTTGTATGCTAAGTCATTTTTCAAAAATCTCAAAAAACCTTTGGTAAGCTGAATTTTGCCATTTAAGCTTTTTACTTTTTTTTGGTTTATTGGAATGGCTTTTTGTATATCCATGCAAGAGGAAAACTATTTTTCTTTAAAAACATAATGACACTAATTACTTTTAATTTGCAAGGAACGAGTTTTGGAACTTTCCAGTGCAAGAAAACAGTTTGGAACTAACTTATCTGCAAGTAAACAGTTTTGTATCTTGCAGCTATTGAGTTGTTATGTTTTAATGAAGATCGAAAAATATGACAAGGATCTGCCTCGTCATATTCTTAGATCTTCATTTTCTTCAAAATAGTTATTTTCTTCATCAAGGTCCTCATTCTCCTCTTCCTGAGCATCACCGTTACCATCCAAAATTTCACGATAAAAGTTTAAAGTTTCTATGTCTCGCCAGTCTGCTCCAAAATGTTTTTTAAGAAGTTTGTCTACGTCTGTCAATTTTTCGGGCTTTATGCTTACAGTGGAGGTTAATAGTTGTGGTTTAATCATTGCGAGTGTTTTCCCTTTTTTTAAAATGCCTTTGGGAACACCTAAGTCTGACCGATAGTGCTCCTCCCCTTGTAGCGATATATTTCCCTTCCTGTCTTTCTTGCTAATTATTCGTTTGCTTGGTGCAAACTTGAAATGTAGGCCACCTGCTGATTTTAACACAGATGAAACTTCAGTTTTCCAGTCCGCAACAGCAACTTCTTTAGTGACTTTTCGCACTGTTCCAAACTCTGAAAAAATGTTCAGGTATTCTTGTGGGTCAATCAAAGTATCGACTTTTCTAATTTTCTTCTCTATGCGACCAAAGACTCTGTCTGCCGGTAAAAACGACAATAGGAAACACCATTGTTATCTTATTCACGTCAGTCTCTGTATTTGATAACCACTGGCAAAACATACCAGTTACAGTCATATTCTTGTTCTGACCAGGGCAACCGTCGCAGAACAGTTTTATCTCCTGCACATTCGTCAAGTCACTTTTCTGGAGGTGGTGAAAGATAATTGAAGCTATCTCATTGGATCCCTTCAAACGCTCATGTTCACACCACGAGTACAGTCTTTATTTTGGGCGCTTCGTGAATCACCAACACATATGGTGAAATTGTACAGATACAATTGCCTACTGTAGTAAGCTGCTTGGTCAGGAACACGGGGTAGAGCAAGATTTTTTTGGCAGTCAAATGATAATTTCATGACGGTTGGTTCCTCTACTTTTTTTAACATGTCATAGAAACACTTTGATTTCATTTTATGAACAGTTAACTGTGCCATTAGTTCTGTCTTGTTTCTACCTGGTGGCGTTACAGAAATCTTGCATCGGAGACTAATGCAAGTAGAACATGCATCAGTTGCAGGACTTTTGAATCTGATGTTGTAGTCAAAATTAAAGACATGCAAAAAGAAAGAGTACTTCACTTTTTTCTCTGGGTCAACTCCTTGATTATACTGCTTCCATAATGCACGTACATTGCAATCACTCGGTAGGTAGCGTCTCAAACTTTTTTCCCTTGTGTAATGGGATTCGGCAAACTGCAGCTGGCTGAAGAAGTTCTTAAGGCTCTGTCTAATTTCTGTGAATTTAGCAGAGCGATGATCACCACCTCGTTTCTCTTTCGGACATTTTCCATCTCGTAAAAATTTTTTGCAGATGTTTTGAATCTTGAACTTTGATATGCCCAAAATACTCAGAAACGCCTTTTGACAAACCTGGAAACAAAAAATGGCATATGAATGCTTTGAAAATGTTCTATAGGCTCAGTATTATAATGTTTCCGTATAAGTACCTAGTACCATAGTTGAAAACATGAAAAAAATCTTTGTTACCTACCTGTATTCTTCTTTTGTTTTTGGTGGGTATAAAGTATCTGATAACAACTTGTGTTGATCTTTTGTCAATATGAATCCTTTTGGGCGATTCTTGCTCTGTATACTTGAGGATAAAAACATCTTGATCCGATTTGGAGACATTAGAATAAAATCTTTCATGGAATCTGCGAATGTCTTGCATACCAAGTTCTTCACAATTGTAGACTTTCTTTTTATCGTGACTGCAGTTTGGCTTTTGTGGAAGAGCCTTGGCCTTGTATCTGTAATGTTTAAAAACAGTAACCATAATAAAGTTTTTATTTAATACTAAATAATAGAAATTTAATTACGTCCAAAATCAGAATAGGCACTAAGCATAGTTAATTTTTTAATGCATACTCTTACCTTTTAAGTTTAGTAGTGTTTTTTTTCCACTTTTCAGGCTGGCGCTTTCTTTTTCTGGTGCGGTTCGGTTATTCCATTAAAGAAACTTATATAATATTACTAATAATCACCAAAAAGCAAAATTTTATTTAAAGAGAGAGGTTTTAAAACTACACAAAAAAATAAAGAAATCGACACAGAGATACCACGAAATTAGGTTATGGTTGCAAGGAGCGAGTTTTGTTCTGTTCCACGCAAGGAAGCAGTTTTGTTACTCAACTGTCAGTGCAAGGAAAGAGTTTTGGAACTAACTTCTGCTTTCAGATGCTAAAAACAGGGAGAAGAAGAGAGTTCTGTTTATTTTTCACCTGTTTAACTGAAACAGAGAGGTTATATCTGTCAAAAGTGACCACCACCTCATTTTTTTAAATCTATGCAAGAAGCGAGTTTTGGAACTCATCTCCTCATGTGCACTACCCTTCTAGTTTTAAATGTTATTAAGTTTTATTTTTTGAGGTAGGCAATTGTATGAACTCGTTTTATACAATAACAAATTTGCTATTTCTCAGATAATACATAATTATACTTTTACTTCTAATTATAGAAATTATACCAACAGCACAGCTTTAAACGTCGAAAAATATATTTTTCTTATAAATATAAATGAAGTAAAGGGTAAAGGTAAAATGTTTATTTTTGAAAAACTGTTACTGTTCGACAACCCTAATGACTTGAGATAAATATGGATAAAGTTGCAGGAAAGGTATGTAATGACGCGCATATAAATAAATCTGGTTTTATGACAGTATAACTGTACAACTTTGGCAGCTTGCTACTTTTATATTAGTAATAAATAATATCTAAGTAAAATTTTATTTTACGTTTTATTTGTACATTGATCTCTTTTTGACAGAGTAGGTGAGCTGTGTCCAGGCCGTTGGTGTTTATGCCGGTCGGCGTAGCCAGGTATGGATTGAAATTTTATACGAGAAGTCGTTGCTTTGTCTTCTGAAATAAAGTAAGGTTAGAATTATGATGTACAAATAATGGGGGATACATCCGATGTACAAATATTTCGTGTACATCCGATCTGCTAGTCACGGCGACAAAAATACCTTTGGCTGAAAGGTTTCTTCCTTTCAGTAGATTGGAGGACTTGCTTTATGATAAAAAAGTTATGTAAAAAAGATTCAAATGAATTATTGAATTTGAATTAAAAATGAATAAAAACTACAAAAATTATATTACATACCTAGGAAATAGAAAATTACAACGTGGCAACAACGCGATAAATATAACGATGTTTACATATGAGCGGCCAGGATGCGCGTTAAGTACATACCTTTCCTACAACTTTACCTAAATATGTTTTTACTATAAGGTGTATTGCTCCATATAAACTGTAACTACTATTAAAACAAATTTTAAATAAAGTCTTACATACCTTTGTGTCTTTTATAAACTGAGTATTGTTAAAAAATGCATTAATCATCTCAGTAATCATATCTTGGTTTACAATGGGTAAAATACTCGTATCAACTTTTATAAATTCAGCTGACAAACTCATATTAATAATAAAATTAAACTAATTAGCAAAGACAGAAGAAATAAATCTAGAATTGAGAAAAAAGTATACAAAACAAAAAACGAATGTTAGGTTAGGTGGTGTCAATTTTAGGTGTCACTTAGATGTGCGTTCACTTCGACATTCTGTGTGTCGGTTTGTTCGTTGGCTTGGTTCTGTATAACAAAAAAAACTTCGACGCAAGCAATTGGTCTATTTCCCGATGACGTACACATTTCAAATTTTAAATTTAAATTGGTTTTAATTTAAAAACTTTTGGCTCTTTTAACAAACTGATTATGTAGAATAACTTGTATAGCGACTGTTACAATATAATTTATACAACAGCATATCTCACATGTGAACATGGCCCATTAGCGTCGCTGGATTTTATCGTACATAAATAGAATCCTCAAGCAATATGCTATAAGAATAAGTTATTCAAAAGTAAATTATCGATTGCTAGAACGTTGAAAATATCAAAAAACATTTAGGCTCGAGAGACATTTCCTATAAAAATGTTATTTCTCTAAAGGAAAAATTATCGTCGATGGGTTATATCATGTATTAATGGATTTCTAAATTAATAGACTATAAGAAAGCGTTAATCCAAAACATATTATCGAGTGTTAGAACGTTAAACATTTCAAAAAACAATTTTGCTCGGAAGACACTTCACATGAAAATATGATTTTTTTAAATGAAAAATTATCGGCGCTAGAATGTGCTAGAATGTTAAAAATAGGTAACGAAATATATTTACATTCGAGAGGCTCGCCACATAAAGATGATTTTTCTTAATGAAAAATTATCGGCGCTGGGTTAAATTATACATCTATGGATTCCATAAACCATTGTCTACCACAATACGTCAAACAAAAATAAAATATCTGGTGCTGGATTGTCGAAATTATTATATTTGTGTGCGTAATTAATATTCAATACAAAAAACACGTTTTTTAACGAAATATTAACGGCGCTGGGTTACATCATACATCAGTGGAATCCTCAAGTAATATACTATAAAAATACATCAATTAAAAGAACAATATCGAGTTCTAGAACGATGAAATTAACAAAATATATTTAAGTTCGAGACACTTTACATAAAAATATGATTTTTCTCAATGAAAAATAATCAGCGCTGGTTTATATCATACATCAGTGGATTTATTAAGCAATAGTTTACAAGAATACGTCGAACAAAAATACAATATTGAGTGCTGGATTGTTAAACTTATTATATTAATAAATACAAATAACATGATTTTTCATAATGAAAAATTATCGGCACTGGGTTAAATCATACATCAATGGATTCCTCAAGCAATAGACTACAAGAATACGTTAATCGAAAATACAATATAGATTGCTAAAATGTTTAAAATAAAAAATATGTTTATGTTCGAGAGACACTTCACATAAAAATATGATTTTTCTTAGTGAAAAGTTATCGGCACCGGGTTATATCATACATCAGTGGATGCATCAACCAATATGCTATAAAAATATGTCAATCGTAAATACAATATCGAGTTCTGAATTTCTGAAATTATTACATTTGTGTGCTAGGGTAATACTTAACATAAAAACATGTTTTTTTTTTTAATAACGGCGCTGGGTTATATCATAAATTAATGGATTCCTCAAGCAAAACGTAACAATACATTAGCCAAAAGTACAATATCTCGAATGTTAGAACATTAAAAATATCAAAATATATTTAGGCTCGAGACCTCAAGGAATATTTTACAAGAATGCGTCAATCAAAAATGCAATATCGAGTGCCGAGTTGCAAATGGTCTATTTTGATACTAGAATGATACTTAAATAAATAACTAAACTAAATGTTTACTCAACAATAATCCTTAGACTTTCATAACTTATTTACGTTACGTGTAACGTGTGAATCTGCCGCACTTTACTCTGATTCACACTAACACTATTTCACTTACTTAATTTTCCGATTGGTGTGTGTTATCAAGGAGCTGAATGGATTTGATATTAACGTAGTAGTTGTTGCAGGCTATGATCTAGTTAACGCTGTCCATATCCAGGTGTCTCTAGGGAGGTTACGGTTCGTACATTACCAAGGAGAAATAAATATGTTCCTCACTACTTTCATCTGGAAGCACTTCACTATTTCATTGTTACTCTTATTCTGGATATCCCCACAGGTAAATATATATCCACAATGGTTTGAGTACCTGTACATACATGAGTAATTTGTTGTATTTTATAGAATACTTTCCAATTTGCCAATACATTTTCGTATTTTTATTCCTAGCTCTTTTTTTATATTGGTTTCCAGCGTAGCCTAGCGTTCAAAGTTATTAAATATTTTGTTGTAGCAGTATAAGGTATTTGGGTATTTGGCTATTATTTATGGTAATTGGAACACGTTGTTTAATTTTCCAACGTTCTGTCTAATCGCTTATTTCTAGCTTATTTCTTCAGCATCTTTTAGGTATTTTGGAATACAATAATACCGTCTAGATATATCCCATGATTCACACGCCAAATACAATGCTATTCCTTTCTTTTTGTTTTTGTTAATTTTTAAATGCTGTTTAATGATCATTTTGTTTGCATTTGTAATATTGAAATTTTTGCTGGTGAATTCATTATTTTCGTCATTTCTTTAGAATTATTTCATTGTATTTTTTCTGTTGTGCATTTTTACGTTGCCGAGAGGTAATTAGAGAATATTTCTGTTCCGTTATTTGTGGTTTAATTTCGTTCAACAAAATTCTGACTAATCGAGAAACTGGAATATTTATTTCTTTATTTAATATGTGGTGTTTTAAAATGTTAAACCACCCTTCTATTGAAGCGTTACTTTCACGCAATATTCCAAAATATGCAATAAGCGCATTGCCGACCATAATGGAAAAAATGGAAGATAATATTCCTGAAAATAGTCAAAAAATTCTGGAAGGTACAATGAATTGGTATTAACATTTCCAATCGATTTGTTTTCAATTTTATGTCTATTATTTTCAAAATAATTTACGAAATGTAAATAAAATGGGGAACTGTGACGCAAACTACTTTCTATATCTAAAGTATTATCATCATCATCATCATCACCACCATCTACAATATAAATGATGTACTAGTTTGTTCATTATTGGTGGTTTTAGGGTCTGGTTTATCACTTTCGTCATGTAAAGTGATGTCTAATTTTTTTAATTTTTTCACGGAATTTCTAACAGAATCCATCAAATATACTGCAAAAAACTATCATCATGTCTTCAAAAATTTCTTCAGTTTCTCTCAATGTTTCAGTGTCTTTTACTATACGGAGAATGGTCGCCCTGCGCAGCTTTCTGAGTGCCTTTTAAAAGGAGATAGAAAAC